ACTGTCTGTCAGAGCGTCCACACGTAAAAGAAGGAAGACATGGCTGGTAGAATTGTCCTCAACTAGAGTTGCTAATCAGTTCAGTTCACTAAACGAAGCCCTCTCTTGTGACAGTCCTCCATCGAAAACGAGCGAGGAGTTGGCTGAACAGCTGATCGCTGCTGCGTCACCACATTGTTTAATTGATGTGATGGGATCAGTGACAAGTGATGTAGCAAATAAAAATGTACAGAGAAGTGTTAAATGATACCAGAAGATGAAACCTACAGAAAGCCAAGCTTGTGGTGATAAACTTGCAACACTGACGAACATGCCTGAGACCGCAGCTGAAGGTGAGCAGCTGTTAAAATCATGCATAGACTTCAAAGCGGGTGCAGGTACATAAGAGAAAAAAGAGCCGTACTCTTCTCTTTTTTTCGGTGAGTTGCTTGCATGTTTGGCTTCGAGCAAAACCATACAAATAATCATTTTTGCCGTGATCTGGCAACGAAAAGTATCGATTGAAGTACTGATTTGACTGGAGACCTTTAGATACTACTTGATACTGTATAGCTCACATGATGAGACGTTACACGAACACAAACAAACAAAATATAATCAGTTTCAATGCTAAAGTTGGCCAGTGAAAATAAAACCAAGTGACGCCTCTCGTGTCTAATAGACAAGCCTAGTGATTCACCAACAGCAGCAGTTACCTACTGTAGATCAATGCTGCTGGCAAGCTAACCGACTGTCACTCAGGATGGACTGGGCTTCTTCCACTGATGAATTTGGTTTTGAAATACTGCCAAAGATATTCCCTGAGCTAACTGGTGTGTGTGTGTGTGTGTGTGTGTGTGTGTTTGTGTGTTTTGTGGTAGACACAAGTGCGTGCACTGATTGCCACTAACATCGTCTATGCTAATTTCAGCAGTTCATCATGCTGATCTTGTGAAACACATTTCACCTCAACGAGACACATTTTAATATCACAAGTTGTAGTGGCACGAGATAAGTAATTTGACTGAAAAAAATGTCAATTGTACTGTTACAAGGCATGTTAAAGGGATAAATAGTCAAGTTTACCACCTGTCATTATCCATACATTTGTTTTTACAGACTGTGTTCGCCTTATATGGTGTGATTTTTCCTCTTTGTGAAGTTTTGCTCTTCCTTATGTGTTTTTTCACTCCCTGCCTATGTGTGTTCCATAGACCAGAGGTCGGCAATAGGCGGCCCGTGGGCCAGAACTGGCTTGACAACAGCAGAAAAATTTTAAATAAATATATTGATAGCGGCTGGTGCTGAAATAGATCTCACATCAACCGATCATAAGGAGCTAATGCTATATGCTACTCTGTTTTAGATTGCTTTAGCTACCTAGCTGAATGTTTGTCGGTTGGTAGTTTGTGGCCATATTGCTGCCACCAGATATGTTCAGGCTCTGTTACTTCAATGTTCCCGTCTCAGAGGCAGATAACACCGACAATACTGTGAAAACATGAATTTATTAAAACACCGAGCCACAGGATGAGTAGAAGTGGAAATATTCTACCCACAACACAGCAAGCCTAAGGCATAGACTTAACGATTTGCAGTCATCATCAACACAAAAAGCATCAAGTTAGAAATAGGAAACGAAAAAGCTCCACATTTGCTTTTTACCGTTACATCCTTTCTTGCAGGCTAAATCCACTGTTGATTTACACAGAATAGTAACATGGGTTGCGTTAGTTGGTGAAGTTGTGGTGTCCGAACAATAATGCTGCGATGATGTGTTGAGAAGAAATCCGCTTGACACTGTTCTTGATTATAAAAGTTTATTACATCAAAGAATTCAGCATCAATTACAAGCTCTGCAGCAGCTTGGAGAGTGACCCAGCCCAATAACCACTCTGTCTCTCTGTACATCGAACACAGCTTATATAGGACATGTTTAGGTCTCTGCTAAATACCATATAAGGGCACAGTGCTGTAGAATAAGTGTAACCATCTGTTAGACACCACAGAAGGGTACAGTCCTTTCATACACACTAATCTCTTCATACACACTAATCTCTACTCCCCCTAACACTGCACCCATCAATCATTACTTCCCCATAAGGGTTCACTGTCCCTCTCCCCAGCTGCAGAGCATTATGTTAAACTGTAATGGTCAAATACACATATGTTATACACCACAAAGTAATATGGAAAGCTAATGTTATATAACTTTACACCAGATAAAATTAATAACTGCTCGGCATTAGCCTGCCTTCTCTGCGTTTCTCCAGCTTTAATAATGCTAACTTTGTTCTTACTAGACATCATCTGAGCCTGTTATTGGCTTCGGCACATAAACCCTTATTGTTGTTTTGTATCCTTACCTTGCCTGTTTTGCTGGGAGCCAGTTGTTTTATGGTGTTAGTGGACTGCATGTCGTTAGCTGCCATGTTTAGAGATGCATCCTAAAAAGAGTAGGTCATCAACATCGTGGAAAAGTTAATTGTGGGCAGCAACACTGAGAGATTAGAGACTCAGGAAACCTTTGCTGGTGTGAGTTAATTAGCTGTTTAAAGAGCTCTTTTCAGATTGACATTTCTGTATTATAAGTTACTTATTATTAAATTCGAAATACATTTTGAGATACTGGAGTTTTGAGTTCCATGAGCTGTAAACTGTCATCATCAAGATTAAAACAAAAAAGGGCTTTAAATATTTCACTTTGTGTAATGAATCTATATATGATATACTGTAGAAACTTATAGTTTAATTTTTTTAATTAAATTACTGAAGAAAATGAACTTTTCCAGATATCCTGTTTTTTCACTATCTACCTTATTCTTAAAGATACGTTAGGAGCCTTATACCCAGTACCAGAGCCTGATGTTTATGAAGAGTGGCTTCTCTTCTGCTCTGATATAAGTCTACAGTCTAAGTACAAATGCAAAGCTCCCTGACTGTATTAGCTGAGTGAGGCTAACAGACGGCGGACAGATGGCTAACAGTGACAGCAGCAACAGCCACCTGTCAAGGTGACCACGCCCCTAATAATGCATAACTTTAAAAAATGCACACACCTCACAGTTGTCCATCCATCCATCGTCAACCGCTTATTGGCTGGAGCCAATCCCAGCTGACATCGTGCAAAAGGCGGGGTACACCCTGGACAGGTCGCCAGTCCATCGCAGGGCCAAACATGGATAAACAGCCACTCACGCAGGACAATTTAGGGTCACCAATCAACCTAGTCTGCATGTCTTTGGACAGTGGGAGGAAGCACCCGGAGAGAACCCACGCAGACACGGGGAGAACATGCGTGGGATTTCCCCCCTTCTGGTATCTATATCATTACCTCTGCTGAACTGCATCCCCCCCTCAGAGTGATCTACTTCAATAGTGATGCAACTTGTCACAAAACGCATGGTTCGGATCGATCCGTAGTTTTGTTAGGGTTAAATTAATTAGAAAATGCGCTACTTTGGCTCTGATCCAGCTGCCTCTCTCTGTCTATGGGTCATCACCAGGCTGGAGTCTTGCATTTGCTCCAGTGAACAGCAGAGCTGTGAGCCGAAGGGAAGGCAGCCGATATTACTGAAGCTGCAATAAACTTCACAATCTGACGATCTGTTTCTATGATGACAAGAAGCCCAGTGTCCGTGTTACACCTTTGTGCATGCCCGAACACACAGCTTTTAAATCAGTCTCTCTCCCCTTACCCACTCACTTCACCTGAGAGGTAAACACAGCATGCATCACTGTAGCTCTGCATCGCGATGTGACGCTCCGTATTACTTGAATAATAAACGTGGAGAATCTGTTTTTTACACAAATCGCACCCTGCAAATGTCCTTGTTAGTTTAGTCCACTGTATACATTTTTTTAAAATCAAGTTTTAGTTGACTAAAAGTCTGGGTATTTTAGTCTGATTTTAGTCACAATAAAATGTTGTTAGTCTAGTTTTAGTCATTAACCATCATTTTAGTCTTTTCTAACTCATGAGTATAATTTTGTTCTGGTCAGTCTGCTTCAACCTAAATAGAGATATGTATCATTTTAGTCTTTATTTCACTCATCTCTCATATAGATCAAATGTTTTGTAAAATTTGAATGTTACCTCAGTTGCCGGGTGGTTAGCCTTGATAGGCCTCTTCAAGTTCTTAGTGTTTTTTCCAAAAATCTTATAACCATATTTGCTTGCCGTCTGATATAATTAGGCACTCTGCTTTTTTGTCTGCCTCACTGTATTTGAAATGGGTCCAAATATCTAAGCGCCTCTTTCTCCCTAGCATGTTGTGTTCATCACCACAGTTCATGGGTGTCAATGGAGATTGACTCCCATTTTATTCTGTTGAATCCATCCATGTGTGTTTATGTGCACTATTTGTCCTGTTTTATTTTAAAGCTGTTCTCCCCCTGGTAATGTGTCCATGTCTTGTCAGCTGTAGTTGATGTTACAGACATAGTTTGTTTGGTTTGTTTGGTTTGTTTAGTACATAGTTGTTTTTCTGCATTTGCCTTTTTTTAAGAAAAAAAACTCTTGCTTTTAACCAACATTTGCACTGGTGCATCTACATTAGTTATACACTTTAGTGTCATTAAAATGAAGGAGAAGAATTTACAGAGAAGCAGTACTGGTATCTGTATCGGAATCAATAAAAACTTAATACCCATCTGTACAGATGAGGATGCTTGGCTTTTGCAAAAACAACCATGTTGCGGACCAATGGGAATCTTGCTGCTTAGACATAATATGAAGGTGGCCTTGCTATCACTCCTCAAGCAGTTAATTGGATTCCAAAGTGTAAAAATCAGTTGTCAATGCTCTTTGATGGGCACATTTTTTAATGGGGACACTGTCTCTAAATGACCTCAAACATTTCTATTGACATTTCTTGTTCCTTATCAAATGACATATGCATTAATACAATCTGTGATAAAACGTGCTAACAATATTGGCCAGACTGTTTACACCAAAGAAACTGAAAGGTACATGGTGTTGCTTATCATGTGGTGTGAATCTTTTCTCTTCATTTTGATAGGATGACTATGTCGAGGCTTTAAGAAGACTGCATCTCACAGTGACCAGGGCCTACAAAGTCAACCCAGACATCAACTTCGAGGTGTTCATTCACAAAGTTGATGGCCTGTCAGATGACCATAAGATTGAAAAGCAAAGGGATATTCACAAGCGAGCCAACGATGACCTTGCAGATGCAGGCCTAGAACGGATACACCTAAGGTGGGCTTTACAGGCAACTTTTGGACTGCTGGTTGTTGGTTGGTTTCACAGTTTGTGTGAATTACATAGATACTGTAATACAAGCAGAAATATACAGTCCTGCCATGAAAATGTACAAATGGACTCATTGGACCTAAAGTAGATATGTTTTAGATCTTGAGACCTGAGAAAAATATAGACATATTTTTCTATAAAACTGTCTGTTTTTTTTTCTTTCCAGAAAGTATTGTTTTGGTATCAGGATTGAAAATAAGTTATGATATATTGACTTGTATAGAATAACTTCAAAGGATACCCAGTCCTAAACAAGATGATTTGTATCACAGACTATAAGTAAATATCCTCATTAGTCTTCTCCTTAAGTTAAAAAAATAATAATTTATAATGTTGGGAATGTAATATTATGTATATTAGCATGTGTGTGATGACCTTAAAAAGGCCAATCTTTATTGTTGACAGTTCGTTTGTCTTCTGTCCACATCTGCATAAAGCTAAAAATGATCAAATTGTTGTGTAGTTATATTCTGATTCTTCTCGCTGATCTCTACAGCTTCTATTTAACAAGTATATACGACCACTCCATATTCGAGGCTTTCAGTAAAGTGGTCCAGAAACTCATCCCACAGCTGCCCACACTGGAAAACCTGCTCAACATCTTCATATCTGTAAGTAATCCTGCCTCTGAATTAACAAAATTTATCTGAAAGACTAAAGATATACAGTCAAATCTCTATGAAAACCTTACACCAATGTGCTTCTGTATTTCCCCGCATTTTAATAACCAAGTTTGACTAGCCACATTATGCATGTCCTCCTGTACTTTACAATTTAATAGGTTGTAGTGATGTCTAACATACTAATACAAACTTTTTGCCACCACACCACCAAGATCCCTACACTCCTGTGGTTCTGTGGTACTTAGATTTACTGAATAAAATATTTGCAAACATCCTGTTCACATGCCAGGTGTCCTTGGGTAAGACACTGAACCCCGAATGCTCCCGATGGTAAGGCCAGTGCCTTGTGTGGTAGCTCGCTGTCATTGGTGAGTGAGAAATCTTATTTCAGTGTCCATTTATTTATTTTTGCTTGTTTTACTTGGTTTATATTGTATACTGCTCCAAAGTCAAGTCCCTGTCAGATTAGCTTGAGTTTCATAGCCATATAAATGAGCTTAAATGATAGTGATAGTGGGACTTAATACCAGTATAAATTATGTATGAACCAACAGACATGAAGCTGTACAATATCCTTTTCATGTCACAATAATGTGCCTTACAAAAAGGTTAGGAAAACAAAATTGGTGGTTGCAATTATAATCCATAAATTCACTAAACCAGTGGTATATAGTTGTGAATGGAATCACTTTGGGTGGACACTGTAAATATTTTGCACTGTTTAATGCCAACTGCTATAAAACGACAAAGAATAATCAGACCCTGATCAGACAGAAAGCAGGTTTGAAAACGCGAGGCGCACGGCAGCACCTTTTTGGTTGAATTTAGAAAAGAGCAAAGCACTGCGGTTTTTTAAATGTTGCTAGGCAACCACTGAATCAGCTGTCCTGTCAGTGTAATCAAAAATTATAGCGCCAGTGATCTGTAATCTTTGGTTTGCCGCTAATTAATAACGGTTATATTAGCAGAAACCTGAGCACAACTCACAGGTCTGAGTCTTTTGTTGCTAAAAACATCTGCCAAATGGAGGGTGCCTGCTCTGGCACTGTTTTGAGTGTGAGAGGTGTACAAACACGCAGAAGACAGGGAAACTGTGATCCGTGTGGGTACATGAGACCCTCAGAAAGGGGAGACACCGCTGGTAGTAGGCTACCACCAGCTGGTCCAGCAGCTTTGTCTTAATGATGGTCGGTTCAAGGCGTATTTTAGGATGAGTCGGGGAGAGTCCGGACAATCCAAGCAACTGTAAACTTCCGTCAGCACAACTGAGGGCCCGTCTCTCCACTCATTAGATTGGACAATGGGAAAAAACGTGAATGAGGTCGGGCACGAGGTTTAATTTTTTTCAACTCTGTACGCTCAGAGCTCTCATTCAAAAACGCAAGGCGCAGCAGGGTGCATTAACAGTGCGCAGTGCGAAATATTTTCAACTTCAAAAAGGGGTCGGACTGCCAGAAAGGTTAAGAACCCCTGCACTAAACCATTTACTATGGTAACCACTGTGCAGTGAGATAAATGGTTAGATAAAGAAATATGTTAGAAAAAGATGCTTGTTATGATCACAGGAATGTCATTCAAATGTCTGTTGGTCGTTGATGAGCCAGGATGGGAAGAGTTGTGGTTCTGATGTCAAATGCAGTCTTTGCTGTGCATTGTTCCATGTCAGAGGGAACTGGTCGTTCCTTTGTTTACCTTCCAGAGGTAGCAGCTTGGCGCTGACTTGCTTCATATCTCCTTTTTATTGTACAGTTAGCCGGCAGACTTTGTGCTGTAGCTGCTGGCACTAAATATATTAGTTTACCCTTGGTTAGCTGTGCATACTTAGCTAACCAGACACCAGGCTCTTGCGTTGCTGCTGTTCCCAGAGGTAAGAGAGCCATCAGAGGAAAAAGAGGTAAGGGGCATAGTCCATATCAGCTTACAGTTAAGGTTACAGGAAGTGACTGGAGCAGATGTGTTTAAATTATTATTTTTTGTTTCTGTAATGGTTTATCATAGTAACAGTTCAGTTTAAATCACGCAATGAACAAATTCATCTATGAAGTTCCAATTCTACCCAAATCCCCCCTTTGGTCACTGGATTTCACTTGATTTGTGATCATGAGAGCACAAGTGTACATGAATAGTCCAAAGCTGAAAGAGTTAATTTGTCATTTAATTCAAGTTTGTAAGATGTGGGCAGTTCATTAACAAGTTACAAAAAGACAACGGTTTGTTTGTCTGCAACATACAAGAAGTTATTCATTTATAATTTCCCCTTGTTTTCGATGGTCAAATTTATTTTTAACTTATGATCATGAGGGTCTGTAGATTCCACATGCAAAGTTTGTGCGTGGATGCGTGGCCCCCAGCCCTTTGGGCTTGGACTCCTATTGAGAACAAAAACAATAGTGCTCCAGTACTTTTGCTGGAGTTTGAAAAAGCAGGTTTAGCACATTTCGCGATTTTGCTGGAAACAAATAATAGCCGGAAATGGCCGTTGCCTATTTCACAAGCTTACAGTGCCACCTGTAGCCTGTTACCTCTAGTCACAGGTCGCACAAGAACTTTTTAGACTGGGTAAACGCTTCAGTTCATACAGCAATGTTTTATTTTTGCCATGGCCTTAAAATCTGAGCATATGTATATATAGTTGTGTTATATAGAATATGGTGTCCAGGAAGGTTGCTGGGGGCAAAGTTTGACCAAAAGTAATGAATTCAAAAAGCAATTAAAGGTGCTAGTAGCATTGGATGTGCCTTCGTGAGATTCTTATCAAACATGTAAAATTTGATACAGATGTGAGCACGTACATTGAAGTTACAACAACTTCCTGTTTCATGACGAATCATTGATTTTCAAAGCCATGCCATGGACACACCCTTCAACAGAACCTCACTGATAACACAACAGATCACTGTCAATGCCTTTAGATAGCACAACATATATAGAAAATTTGAAGTTGATCAAATGAGTTCTATAGGAGGAGTTTCTTGAAGTACAGAACCTGTAAATCGCAAAAATGACCATTACATTCAAAATGGGGCATTGCTTCCTGAAGCTTCTTTGTAGGTGTGGATATACCTGCCACAAAAATGTCTTACATTTTGGTGAAACGTGCCCCAGGGCTCCTTTATAAGGGGTGCAAGTGAGCCATTTTGCCATGCCCATGCACGAAAACCATATGACATGTACAATTTCACCATGTTTGAATTTTGTGCAAAGTTTTGTGAGATTAAAACGATGCACGTTTGGCTGTCAAAAAACAAAGAATTCATTCCATTTCAATAGGGTCCTCGCATGTTTCATGCTCAAGCCCTAAAAAAAGAATTCCTTAAGTTTCAATAGAGTCCTCACACATTTCTTGCTCTGGCCCTAATAACTTATAACAAAAAAAAGTCACACTCCAGCACATTGATTGATTGTTCCATGATTATAATGTATATCAGAATTAATTTTGAGAAAAAATTATTTTTTATAAATGAGTTGTATGGATTTACACTACTGTAGGAACAGCGTTGTTTTGATTTAACATTATAATTATTGATGGAACAATTTGTATTTTTAGATTCAGTTTTGGCATTCTAAACCAGCCTCCATCCTTTTACTGTTTAAATCACATATGTATGTTGTATAGTATATTATATATTTATAAAATGGCTAGCTCAAATCAAGCAATCTGATTGGTTCATAGCGGTGATATAATGAGCGAATATAACGGGTATGACGTCGAATTCCTTTGCACAGATCCATATCACTCCGCAACAAATAGGGTTTGAGTTATAATCTGAGCTTCGTGGGGGTCTCACGCCCCATTTGCACCTGGTATTAAAATGCAATCTTATACAGATCTGATTCAACATTTCCCTCTCTCACACACATGAAAACCATAGACTGTATGTCGAGCTAGGCGGGAGGGGTTTCAGCACCACGTCACCTCAGCTCTACCCACGACCTGCCTCTTTGGCCATTTATGGTTTTCCGGGAGTTACGTGCGGTGACAAGATGGTGATGGCCAGAAACCAGCGGGTGAAGTCATGGATACTACGTACATTTTTATATACAGTCTACGAGCTCAACATGACCGAGTTAGCTCATGCTAAGGAGCTAATGCTATATGCTACTCTGCGTTAGCAGAGGTAGCTTCTAAACCCCTGGTGCTGTACGGTGGAGGTTGGAACCATTGGTTAAGTTATGAAGGTATGAATGGAAAATGTAGCGAAATTAAGAGTAGGCCTACATTAGATGTACCCACCCCTGCTGCAGACATCATCACTGCTGCCTTCAGCTAGAAGTAAGCACAAAAGAAAAGTCTGTCATATTGAGGCACTTTACTGCACTGGCCTCGAGCAACGTTTTTTTTCTCCCTCAACATTTCTATAAGCTACATTTTGTCCGTGACTGATGTGGAGTGTGTGAGCGATTGACTGGTCTCTTAGTAAACCGCCTCCTATATGAGCCAGCTCTGAAAATGCCTGAGCCAGGAAGGCAATGCCAAATAAAACTTTACATTAGGAAAGAGGGGGGGGCAAAACATAGATTTTGAAATGAAATATGTATAATGCCTCCTCTGCCTATCAGGTGATGAACCTCACCACAGATCCACACAAGTTAATTTCAGCGCCTCTGATAAAGTGCAGCTCACAGCTTCAGGTGGATCAGAGGACAGACACAGAGCTACAGCTGGATCATCTTATTCTCCACTAATTTGCAGGAGAATAAATAATAACAATAATCTCTCTCTCACTCTCTCTCCCTCCCGGAAACGTTAATTAAGCAAAAGTAAAGTTACATTTTCGGCCTTTTATTTGTTTGTATTTTAAAAATCCTAACGACGCCGCTGGGTACATCTAATGTAGGCCTAATCTTAATTTCGCTACATTTTCCATTCATACCTTCATAACTTAACCAATCTGTAATCTGCATTTTGCTTTCTTAACCGAAATGAGCTCATCCAGGCTGTGCACAGTTACGCAGTAAAGCGCTGGTCGGGCGCTTGTCACAGTCAC